TTACATAGAGAATTGTAACAACTAACTTTGGTGAATTGTTGGTGTTGATGTATTTGTCTTGTAGATTTTGTTGCCAGGCTTTTTGGTTTAGTTTTGTTAGCTGAGTTAGCTCATCTTCAGCCAATGTAATTCATTTACTTTATATAGTACATTTTTTATATATTAGATGTGGGTTGCTTATAGTCAATTTTAAAGTGTATGGCCTTTTCATGACTCAAATAAAAATGGGAATAAATTACACCGACACCTCTTAAGATATTTATAATTTATTATAGTTTCTCCCTCACGTTTTAAAAATCACATCTCTCTCCCTGAGGTTTAAAATTTTATTACAGATTTTCCCCTCCAGAATATTAATTTTTTTAAATACAATTTTGCCCTCAACTGGGTAAATTACATGAACACCTCTCACATTTTAGAAATTACAATCCCCTCCCTAAGGTTTAAAAGTAAGCATTACCGAATTGGCTCCTTGGTTAGTATTATTGGAAAAAAAATTCATTTGAAAAAAAATTAATTGAAAAAAATTTTTGTTAGTAAAATTTTTAAATTTCTGCTTAAAAACCAACGTAAACTTACTTTTTAAATTTATGTTTTTTTCTCAAATTTACAAACTGAGACAACCATTTATAAACCAAAAAAATTATCAAACAAGTTTTTATGACAGTTTTTTAAATTTTTATAAATATAAATTGAAAACTGAAAACGAAATGGTTACCAAACAGGTTTCAGATGGTAAAAATGTCGTAAAATTAACAAATAATTAAATAAGTTACCAACGTAAGAAATGGTTTATTAAAAGACTCTTAGGCTATGTATGGTTTGATTTTTATAATTTTTTTTTAAAATTTAAAAATTAATTTGGTTAAGAAATAAAAAATAATTATCATTTTTATATAATTTTTATCTTTCGAGTGGTTAGAAATAGTTTTTTACAAATTAAATTGAAACAGCCATACATATGTATATAACTTGCCTAAAAGTTAAAATGATAATTATTTTTTATTTTTTATTTCTTAACCAAATTAATTTTTAAATTTTAAAAAAAAATTATAAAAATCAAACCATACATAGCCTAAGAGTCTTTTAATAAACCATTTCTTACGTTGGTAACTTATTTAATTATTTGTTAATTTTACGACATTTTTACCATCTGAAACCTGTTTGGTAACCATTTCGTTTTCAGTTTTCAATTTATATTTATAAAAATTTAAAAAACTGTCATAAAAACTTGTTTGATAATTTTTTTGGTTTATAAATGGTTGTCTCAGTTTATAAATTTGAAGAAAAAACGTAAATTCAAAAAATGAGTTTACGTTGGTTTTTAATTAGAAATTTAAAAATTTTACTAACAACTTTTTTTCAATTAATTTTTTTTCCAACTAATACTAACCGATGGAGCAATTGGTAATGCTACTTTAAATCTTATGGAAGGGATTGTAATTTTTAAAATGTGAGAGGTGTCAATATAATTTATCTAGTGAGGGCAAAATTGGTATTTAAAAAAATTAAATTGCTGAAGGGGGAATTTGTAATGAAACTTTAAACCTCAGAGAGAAAGATGTAATTTTCAAAACATGAAAAAAAAACTGTAATAAATATAAATCTCAGGAAGTGTCTGTGTAATTTACCCATAAAAATTTAAAAGTTTCTATATGCTCGTTGGTCAGCAATGTTAACTCATTTACTTTACCAAAAATGTTTGAGGACTCGAAATACTGTTGGCTCAAATCGGCTCGAAACTCAAAACGACGTCGTTTTGAGTTTCATTTTTTTTCTTCTTTTTCTTGCATTCGAACGCAGAGAGAGAGAGAGAAGGAGAAAAGCGGGAAGAGAGAAGAGGAAGAAAAGAAGAGGAAGAGAGAAGACAGTGATGAAGGAGGAGGAGGAGGAAGACATGGAAGCAGACCAATTTTAGATCTGGATTGATGATTTGTTTTGATTTTCTTTCTTTCTTTTCTAGTGGATCTGGATTGATGATTTGTTGATGAATAGATTTGTGGATCTGGATTCGACAATTTTAATTTTAATTTTTTTTTTGCTGTTGATGAATGTATGATGTTGATGTTCAGATTTTTTTTTTCTGCAAATTTTTGCTGGGTTTGTTTTTTGATGATTTGCTGGGTTTGTTTTTGTTTTGGGTTTTGATTTTGCTGGGTTTGTTCCTCTTCTCTTTTCTTCTTTTTCTTCGTCTTCTTCTTCTTCTTCTTCTTCTTCTTCTGGTTCTGCTCTTCCTCTTCTTCTTCTCTTGTTCTTCTTCTGGTTCTGCTCTTCCTCTTCTTCTTCTCTTGTTCTTCTTCTTTCTTCTTCTTCCTGCGAGAAAGAAAGAAAAAAAAAAAAAAATTTAAAACCCAAAACGACGTCGTTTTGGGTTTTGAGCCACATTCGAGCATGAATTATTCGGGCTCTGTAACGGGACTGTTTACTTTACATTGTACATTTTTTGTATATTAGATATGGTTGCTTGTAGTCAATTTTAAAGTGTATGGAACTTTTCATGATTTAATAAAAATTTAAGGGTTTCTATATGTTCATTGCTCTACGGAAAAGCTCAATTTGGGGTTAGTTTTTGTAAGTGCATTTTTGTTCTTTAAATTTCGTTTATCAATTATATATTTTAGTTAAAAAGACAGTTAAAAAGTCAAAAAATAATTATAAGTTGTTGAATCACACTCTCTACTTTTTTACATATTTTTTCGTAAAATGTTAAAAAATTACTAAAATAGTTCGTTTCCAAACAAAGCCTAACATTTTAAGTTAATATGTTTGGAAAATTATAAAAAAAAACTACTATTGTTAATAAAAAAAATTGATTCGACATTTGACTTATTTAACTAATGACGAATAATTTGGTGACTTTTAACTTTTTAACACTTTTAAAGTGTTGTCAAACACTCACTAAATAATAATTTCTTATTTTAAGTTAGAAATGGATAAATATAAGAAGAATTTGAAAACACCACTAATCATTTTTATTCTTCTAGTTTATTTAAATTATTTTCACTGTATAAGATGTACGTCAAAAGTTACATCATGCAAAATTTCTAAAACAAAAGTCTTAAAGCAAACCATTTAATTGCAACAAACAACACCACCATATTCAAAGTATAACAATTCTAACCCATTGTCCGTAACAATTTTTTATATTTTTTATCTAAGTCGAGTGATATTAGAAAAATGACTTTGAAATCTCAATTAAGGGCTCAAAATTGAGGCCTCGAAAAGATGTGCAAAAAATAGAGAGAAAAAGAAATTTTTGACTTTTTTGTATAAGTTATTAACTTTTTGATTTTTTAGTAACTTTTTAATTTTTAAACTAAAACAGCTACTTATCAAACGAGGCATGAGTATGGGGAGAGAGCGGTGAAAAAGTAGTATACAAACATAAATTTATAAATATATTTTATCTAGAATGATTACGAGTTACAATAAGAATATTTTGTTAGGAAATAATAAAGGTACACTTATGATTGTAAAGTCATGTGTTACTTATCTTTATTCATTACAAAATGAGAAAACTATAAACACTTATTCCGTACAAAAATAATGTTATTCAAGTCAAAATATTCATTAAAATCGACATCATTAAATTAACTAATCGGATTAATTCAGTTGGTCAATCTTATATATTTCTGTTAGGGAGTGAGTTGATTTTTTTTTCCCCTTATAGAGGTTGTATTTAGTTGTTTAGTTTCCCTAATTTGATATAATTCTTCTAATATTTATAATTGATCTCCTAATCACCCAAAAAAAAAAAATTTTTTTGATTTAGCCATAAATTGGACTAAGTAAGCTTAGACGGGCTCACAAATTTCTCGGCCCATTATATTTTTGGGACAAATACAAATGGGCTTCTCAAAGCCCAAAAAACAAAACTTAAATTTTGATATAATTCTTCTTATATTTATAATTAATCTCCTAATCACCCAAAAAAAACATTTGATTTAGCCATAAAGTGGACTAAGTAAGCTTAGACGGGCTCACAAATTTCTCGGCCCATTTTATTTTGGGGACCAATACAAATGGGCTTCTCAAAGCCCAAAAAATAGAACTTAATTTTTGATAGACGCCCACCGTGGGGCTCGAACCCACGACCACAAGGTTAAGAGCCTTGCGCTCTACCAACTGAGCTAGACGGCCTACACTGTGAGAGTTTCTCCACATAATGAATATTAAAATAAATAAAAAAAAAATCAGAATTACATAAATTTGAGCTCAGTTTCTTCAAATAAAATGTTGACCTAGCCCTAACTGTACGAAATCAAAGCAAGAATGGAGGTGCTATGGAGGATCTTCGAATTCATCGTCATCGTAGCTCTGATTCTCGCTTTAGCGTTAGTCGCTGCGATTGTATTCGAAGCTTTCAGAAGAAGATTCAATCACACGTATGTTCTCTCATCAATCAACCTAATTTTATTGTCCCCAATTTGATTGTCTTACTCTTTCAATATCTCTGTTATTCTGAATATGTTTTATTTTGAATGTTTATCAGTCATCTAGAAGGTCATCCGATCTTCGAGGATCCAAATTCATCGAAACAGGTACATCCTATTATATAAAATATATATACTTGTATAATTTTTATTATGTATAGCTGTATATGTAATTTGGTTAATTACAAAAAAAAATAAAATTGCATCAGTTAATGAATTTGTATGGTTTTATGAAGCTTGAAACACAATGGGAACCTGACCAAATACACAATGGAAATGTTAAATATTCTTATGGTGTGTCCGTATGTGGCTATTAGTAGAGTGAACAATCTATGGTTTCTGAAATGAACTGAGCTGTGTAACTGTACTGGAATGGAGTGGAATAGAAGGATCATTCTATCAAAATAGTTGTTTCCATGTTTGGTTGACTAAAAAATAATGACAAATATAATAATTGTTTACTATTATAAGGAATAATCGTTCCACACGGGAGCCTAAGGAATGATCATTCCATTCCATTCCATCTCATTCCGTTGAACCAAATAGAGTGTAAATATTAAAAACATAATGATAAGAAGAAAATGAGACAGGATGAAATTCACCCTTTGGCCACCAAGTCTTTTCTAAGGGGAGATCTTGTCTTAGGTTCCACTCTTAGGAGTGGAATGAGAGGCAAGATTTAAGTGCTTGCAAGGAGAGGGTGTGAGTTCAACTCACCCTAGGTCCTAATTTAGCAACTGACAACTAACTTTCGCTGATAAAAAAATAAAAAATAAAAAATAAAAATTGAAATTAACCAGGATGTCTGTTGAGATGAGAATCCAGCTTTATCAACTCTAGGATCTCAATGGCTGTCTGAAGTCGTACAATTTACAATGTGCTACATGAAATTGATTGTGATGTTCCAATTGTAAAGCGAACCTAAGGATTAAGATATCCTTGATAATTTCTGCATAGCATATTAACTTGGTTGATTGATTGGCTAAATTAATTAAGTTATAAAGTGGTTTGGTTGTTACTAACTCTAGCGAAACAACATTTGTTCCAGGTTCCATGTCCTTCCATTTTTGATCCAGCAGAGAAGTACATATCTTTGATAATTCCTGCATTCAATGAAGAGCACAGGCTTCCAGGAGCTCTTGATGAAACCCTGAAGTATGTTGGAGCATAACTAAAATATCAGATCTGTAATTATCATTTTCATCAGTGTTATTGTTGTCGGTGGTGTCCATACCCATATGTGGGGGTTTTTTTGGTGTTGATCAATCAAGATCAACACTGGTATATTTTGTTTTCCTTTTTGTTTTTCTATTTTCTTACCTCAAATATGAGATGTGAGGCTTCCTTATCAGCCAAAAAAAGGAAATTACTAATGCCTTTTAAGGACATTGGAGATCCAGTCCCTGGGTTGAAGCTTATTAGGAACCCAATTATAACAAGGAGCCTTCAATAATGTAGTCAAGTGCATGCACCTCATTCTATAGCATAAATACTTATTGTTTTTGCAATTATTAAGGAATGCAGTTGGTGAGCTGCATAATTTCTTATTTTTCTTCTAGAATGCTCATTTCAAGTGATTAAATTATTTTATTATGTAATTGTGCAGTGATCATCAATTCAATATGCCTTATTTATTGCATTTATTTTTTTGTTTTTTATTTATTATTTATTTTTTCCCAGTTATCTTCAAAAACGTGCAGCAAAGGACAAGTCTTTTTCTTATGAGGTATGATTTATTTTCCGTTATTTGTATTATGTTGCATTATCTGAATTGATTTTATAAGTATGACGAAGTACGATATTATGTTTGTAGGCCAGAAATTGTATATCATATGTTTCATGGTTGATGCAGTGAATTTAAGATTTGGACCTCTATGTTTTTCAGTCATTGTATTGAACATAATTCATCTGATGTGCATTCCAACCCAAAAACCGGACAAAATATAGTGATTTATCATCTTCTTTTCTTCTTCTTTTGTTAATTATTTTATTTTGGTAGATGTTATGATTAAGAGAAGAGTTAGTATAGCATGTGTACAAGAAACTAAGTGGACGGGTGAGAAAACTGGGGAAATTGAGAATACCGGTTTTAAACTGTATTATAGTGGTAAGGATAGACGCAGGAATGTGGTAGGAATTATAATTACCAAGGGTTTTGTAAAAAATGTAGCAGCAGTCATTAGGAAAAGGGATAGGATTAAGTTAAATTAGTTATTGGAGTGGAATATAGTGAATGTTATTAGTGCATACGCCCCCTCAAGTAGGATTAGATGATCTGACTAAGGGGGATTTTTGGGAGCGAATAGATGAGATCTTACAGGAGATACCCGTAGGAGAAAACCTAATTATAGGTGGAGATTTCAATGGCCATGTTGGCATAGATAAATTAGGTTATGAAAGGGTGCATGGTGGATACGGTTTTGGTGATAGAAATGAGGCTGGAGAGAGTATCGTAGATTTTGTGTTGGTTGTTGACCTTGTGGTGGCTAATACTATGTATAAGAAGAGGGAGAAGCATTTGATACCCTTTAAGAGTGGGTCAATTAAGAGCCAAATAGATTGATTTTTAGTGAGAAAAGTGGACCCGCCTAAAATCTAGTGATTGTAAGGTGATTCCTGGAGAGAGCCTAGCCTTTCAATATAGGATTTTGGTACTAGATTTATGTTTTAAAAGACAATACCAAGTTAGGAAGGATGATGGGCGTCGTAGGACGAGATGATAGGACCACAAAGGGGATAAACTAGAAATAATTAAGATAGAATGGATAAGGAAGGTGATTGAGACTTGAAAGATGATGCTAACACTATGTGAAACTTAATGGCCAATTGTATGAGGAGAATCTCAAGGGAAGTGCTTGGAGAGTTGAAAGCAACGGAACCCAACGCTAGGGAAACTTGGTGATGGAGGGAAGAGATTCAAGCGGTCGTTAAGGCAAAAAAAAAGTGCTTTAAAAAGTGGCAGAATGATAGAACTGAGAAAAACCTTAAGAGCTATAGATTTTGGCTAATAAGGAGGTCAAGAAAGTAGTGAGAGAGTCTAAGTTGAAAGCGTATGATTACTTATACATTAGAGTAGATAGTAAGGAGGGAGAAAATAGAGTATACAAACTTGCTAAGATACAAGAGAGGAAAATAAGAGATTTTAATAAAGTTAAGTATATCAAGAGTGAGGATTTTAAGGTATTGGTGAAGGATGAAGAGATTAAGGAGAGATAGAAGAACTATTTTGAGAAACTATTAAATAAGGAACATGGAGGTATGTCAATAGGGGAAGAAATAGCTAGTAATACGATAAACCAAGATTATAGGTTCTATCGCAGGATTAGAAACTTTAAAGTGAAAATTGCACTTAAGAAAATGAAATTAAATAAGGCTTTAGAATCTAATGATATCCCTATTGAAGCTTGGAAGTGTTTGGGTAAAAAAAAGGGTTACTTGATTGACTAGGTTATTTAGCAAAATTTTATTGACTAGGAATATGCTAGATGAGTGGATGAAGAGTATTTTAGTACCAATCTATAAGAATAAAGCAGATGTCCAGAATTGCAACAACTATAAAGGAATCAAGCTAATGTGTCATATAATGAAAATGTGGAAAAAGGTAATGGAACGCCAATTACAAGATATAACAGAGGTATCAGAGAATCAATTCGGGTTTATGCCTGGCAGGTCAACAATGGAAGCGATTTATCTGTTGAGGAGAGTAATAGAAAAGTATAGAGAAAAGAAAAGAGACAGTCATATGGTGTTTATCGGCGTTGAGAAAGCATATGATAGAGTGCCTCGGAATATAATATGGTGTGTGTTAGAGAAGAAAGGGGTAACCAAATGTTACATTGATGTGATTAGGAATATGTATGAAGGGGTGGTGACTACTATTATTAGATCGTCTACTGGAGAGACAAATGAATTTCCCATCACTGTAGAGTTACACCAAAGATCTATCTTAAGTGCTTATCTTTTTGTGTTAGTTATGGATGAGTTGACGAGAAATATTCAGGATGACGTGCCTTGGTGTATGCTTTTTGCAGATGATATCATGTTTGTGGATGAGACTAGAGAAGGAGTTAACACAACATTGGAGATTTGGAGAAAAATGCTTGAATTTAAAGGATTCCGGATAAGCAGAACTAAGACAGAGTACATGGAGTGTAAATTTAATAATAGTAACAGTGAAAGCGGAGGAGAAGTGAAGATTGAGAACCAAGAATTGAACATTTTCGTTATTTAGGGTCGATTATCACAATGGCAAGGGAGATTAATGCAGATGTGGCCCATAGGATTAAGGCGGTATGGCTTAAGTGGAGAAGTGCACTGTGCGATAAACGAATACCCACTGGACTAAAAGGTAAGTTTTATAGAACGGCTATTAGACCAGCGAAGTTATATGAGATGGAGTGTTGAGCAACAAAGAAACAAAATGTTTATAAGATGAGTGTTGCTGAGATGAGGATGTTAAGGTGGATGTGTGGCAAAACTAGATAAGACAGAATTAGGAATGAGTGTATTTAGGAATGGGTAGGAGTAGCACCGATAGAAGGTAAGTTGAGAGAGAATCGATTGAGATGGTTTGGTCATATTCAAGGGAGGCCAATAGAGACAGTAGTGAAAAGATGCGATACAGTGACGATAGATGGAAGTGTTAGGGGACCAGGTAGGCCTAGATTAACGTTGGTTAGTGTTGTAAATAGAGATATGGATCTACTTAATTTGACTAATGAAATGGCCTTTGATAGAGCTGCGTGGAGAAAGAAAATTCATGTGGCCAACCCTATTTGATGGGACTTAAGGTTTGGTTTGGTTTATTTTTAAATGGCTGTGGGAAGTTCTGGCATATTAGGGAATGAGAATGCTTCATGGTACGCTTTTTGCTCTCATCATCCACAATTATCCATCAGAAAAGCATTTTGTAATGGAAGAAATCCTTGTAAGCTTCAGTACTGATTGGTAAGTCTTTGGCCAATCTCGGTACCTGTGTGTGTGTCTAATTGTGTGTAGTGCCATGTTCAATCGTCATTTAAAATGAAAATCACAACACAGGATGACTTTCTTTATATCATGGTGAGAGGTTTGAAGCTTAGTGCAATGGTTGTAGACTCTCTTTTGAAAAAAAAAAAATCATTGAAACTATCTGCGATTAAGGTCACTTGAATTTGTTCAAAACATCGGCAAGGTCTGATTTTGGATTATGTGTCCTTGTGTCACAGTTAATGGTAGTACTTTGCATAAGCACTTTCAATGATTAAATGAATTGACAATTTATAGGATGTAATGATTTTCAGGGACTCAGGATATGATTTTTTGTCTACAATTTTGTGTAGCTTATAATTACTTCTTATATGGATGAATTCTTCCACTTAGGTACTTATTGTTGATGACGGAAGTGCTGATGGAACAAAGAAGGTAGCTTTTGACTTTGTGAGGAAATACACTGTAGACAATGTAAGGGTTATCCTTCTTGGAAGAAATCATGGCAAGGGAGAAGCTATTAGAAAAGTGAGTCTGATCTAAACCATTCCCTCACTTGGTTGCAAAGGTTTCGTGATCATGTTGGTGGTGGCTCTGTATGTTCTTCTTTATCCATTACGACAATTGATTGAGCTCTTTTCCTCTGCGAAAGCATTGTAAAACAGGGAATGCTTCATTCACGTGGTGAACTACTTCTGATGCTGGATGCTGATGGAGCAACAAAGGTTAATGACTTAGAAAAACTCGAGAAACAGGTTGATTTCAGCTTTCATTATTTATTTGTGCATTTATACTTTCACAGATTATCTTGGGGATTTCAGCTTTCATTATTTAAATTAAAATGATTTTCCATCAGATACAAACAGTTGCTAGAAAGGAACTTGGGGATTCAGCAGTCAGTGATTCCACCTTAAGAATTTCAGATATTCCATTGGCAGCATTTGGTTCTCGTGCACATCTTGAGGAGAAGGCTTTAGCTACAGTTCAGTCTTGTTCTCTCTTCTCTTCAATACTTTTATTCTTTTGAATTTGAATTACTATTCTACTTTGCAATTCAACATAAGTTGACTTCCGATGTTGCCTTCTGATCACACACTGGTGAAAGTCTTGCACAGGAGAGTGGGTCTCTTTCTCTCTCTGCCTTTTCTCTCTCTCTTTCCTTTTTCTCTTGCATGTGTGCAAGCATGAGGGGATTCAATTGCATGGTTCGCTATCTCTGGGGATGTTGATCTGTATTAGAGTGTGGTCATTCTTCAGCTATGGTGACCCTCCTGAGATGTGATCTTTGTGTCATGCGCGTGCTCATGCAAGGGGGGTAAAATATGTGTGCATAATAAGTAGATGCTTGGCATAGAAATAACTGCATAGTTTGCTAAAAAAGTAAAGAAGACTGCGTGCTCAAGCTTTTTTTTATCATGGTTACCGAGTATGATGTATGAAAAGAAAGTGTCTCAAGTTACAATTTTGAGTAATGAGAATGGATAGACTGCAAAACCCTTCATATATCACGAGTAATACTTTGGATAGACCAATTTTGTTTTCTTGAAGTTGCGAGAAGGCTCTGTTAACCTTTGAAGTTGAAATGCCATTATTCTCCTTTGCTCATTGTTCTCTCTTAGTAAAACATGTTCAATATACATTTCAGAGGAAGTGGTATCGCAACTTTCTAATGAAGGGTTTCCATGTTGTGGTCCTCTTGGCTGCTGGACCTGGAATTCGTGACACTCAGGTGATTTTTCTGCTTCATGAATTATATTTTTTACCATCTGGCTTGATACTTGTGCCTGTTGTTTAAAATTTGCATAAAATTACTATATTTTTCACTTGATATGGTCTTTGTTATGTATCCCAGTGTGGTTTTAAGATGTTCACTAGAGCTGCTGCACGGAAGCTGTTCACAAACATCCGTTTGAAGAGGTAACAATTGGCTGACCCCTTTTAGACAACCTCGGTAGTTAACTTTGGCAAACAATTGGTGACTGTCACAGACCCAACTCTCTTAAAAAGGTCAACTTTTAATAAGAGACTGCGTGGCTGAGTTATCTTGTACACCAGTGATATATCCCTTTAGCTGCCAATATGGGAGTGTGACATTCTCTCTCACACAATCTTGTTACACTCTCGTCAGGGATCAGCCCCTTTATGGTGGGCTTCCTAGCTCAAATGAGGATTCCCCATCAAATCTCGGGATGCCCCTTCATGAATTAGGATTGTAGCTTCTTTTAGCTTATTTAAAACCCTTAAATATGAGTGGAAAAAAAGCTCCGTCTCTGTCTTAATTACTGGTGTAAAAAGACTATTGAGAATAAAATGAATATTTACACATTAAAAAAGTTGCACACAGATTTAAAAATTATTTTAATTATTTTAAGCTAAAATCTAAAAAGTTATAATCATAAAAACTAACTTATAAGTGAACCAAACAGGGCCTTACTCAATTAGTACTAGGAATAATGTCTGAGCATTAAAAACTCATTCCTGGGAAATTTTTAATTCATTGTGGGACTTACTGAGCAAGATGAACTTTGTGCAGGTGGTGCTTTGATGTCGAGTTAGTCTATTTATGCAAATTTTTTAGGATCCCCATGATCGAGATATCTGTAAGCTGGTCTGAAATTCCCGGATCCAAGGTGAATCCATTAAGCATTCCCAACATGCTCTGGGAGATGGTACTCATGTCTGTGGGATATAGGACCGGCATCTGGAAAATTTGTAACTGAGATCCCGAGCCTTCCCATTTGGAGAACAACCATGCTCCTTTTTAACTGTCATTTTGATTCACTTCAATGCAGGAAGAAGAAAGAAGTTGTAGGATGTACACCTTTTTAACCACACTTGCAATTAAAATAGGTTGCAGCTTTCCCAAGTTTGTTTATGCAAACCATTGTTTGGCATCATGCCTCTGTTTTGTAGAATTATCCGTGGAAGAGGTTTCTCAGAAATTGTTTTCGGCCAAAACATAATTAGTGTTAGTTATCATTTGATTTTTGTTGATTGTAGGCTAAATTCATTGTCAAAGTTAAATATAATGATGTGGCAAGAGAAGACATGAATATTTTTCTTTGATTTATCCATCTTAGAATATAGTTATCAAATTGATGGTTGAGATAGCAGTTTGTGGAGTAACCTTTTGGTGTTCGGATTATTATCTCACCGATTTCTTGTTGAACATCCTATTGATTGAACATTTGATCCTGCCGTGACATAGAATAGGAAATTTTGTTATCATTTTGATATTTGGTTTAATATTTAGCTTGTGTTTGGGTCTTAAATTTCTGCAGTGATTTGTGGAGCGTAAGAAAAAGCTAAGGAAAATTCTCTTTCCTTTTCCATCCAAACACAGCCTAGTGTCATCTCATGACAGGCGTGAATCCTTTATCCCTCAAATTTTAATACTTGCACTGTATGATATATCTGTCCTGTTTGTATTTTTTTTGTTTCGTTTTTTTCTCCCTCACTTTTTAGGAGGCCTATCCAAGAGTGAGTGTTTGGTTTAACTTCTACACATTATTTGAAAATTGAGGGAAGAGTGAGTGTTTTTAGCTTTAGCTTTTTTATTATCAATTTTCGTATGTGTTTCAAGGTTCCCATTGTAAGTATGGAATCTTCTATTCTTAAATTTTTGCATCACTATGGTTCACGAACTCTCAACTATGAAATCATATTTCGAGATTGTCATAATTTAATAGTTGTGAGTGCATTAAAATAGAAAGGGTAAATTACATTGACACCTTTTGAGATTTATGTTTATTACAGTTTCTTTCTTCACTTTTTGAAAATTACATTCTCTTTCTTGAGATTTAAAGTTTTATTTTAAATTGCTTTCTCTAGCAATTTAATTTTTTTAAATATCAATTTTGCCCTTACTGGGTAAATTACATTGACATCTTTCACATTTTAGAAATTATAATCTCCTCCTCAAGGTTTAAAATAGCATTACCAATTGTCTCCTCGGTGTATTAGTTGAAAAAAAAATTCGTTGAAAAAAAAAATTAATTGAAAAAAAATTGTTAGTCAAATTTTTTAAATAGAAATTTAAAAACCAACGTAAGATAAAAATTTCACTGACATCCCCTGAATTTTTGAGATTTATGTTTATTACACTAGAAAGATAAAAATTATATAAAAATGATAATTATTTTTTATTTTTTAACCAAATTAATTTTTAATTTTTAATAAAAATTTCTAAAAATCAAATTATACATAGTCTAATAATATTTTGATAAGTTATTTCTTACGTTGGTAACGTATTTAATTATTTGTTAATTTCATGACATTTTTACTATTTGAGGCCTGTTTGGTAGTCATTTCGTTTTCAGTTTTCAATTTATATTTACAAAAAATTAAAAAATTGTCATAAAAACTTGTTTGATAATTTTTTTGGTTTATAAATGATTGTCTCAGTTTGTAAATTTGAGAAAAAAACGTAAATTCAAAAAATGAGTTTATTTTGGTTTTTAAACAGAAATTTAAAAATTTGATTAACAAAATTTTTTTCAATTAATTTTTTTTTCAAATAATTTTTTTCCAATTAAATTTTTTTTTTCAATAAATTTTTTTCAACTAATATTAACTAAGAGGGCAATTGATAATACTATTTTAAACCTTGGGGATGGGATTGTAATTTTTAAAATATGAGGGGTATCAATGTAATTTACCAGTAAGGACAAAATTGGTATTTAAAAAACTAAATTGCGGGAAGGAGCAATCTGTAATTAAATTTTAAACCTCCGGGAGAGGATGTAATTTTCAAAAGATTAGGAGACGAATTGTAATAAACATAAACTTTCGGGGTGTCAATGTAATTTACCCAAATAAAAAAATATAAAAAATTATGAACAGAGGATTCTTGTTTTGAGAATCCGAATAGATGATTCTTGACGCAGCTATATGTCAATAATGAATGATCTGACCAGCCCTCATGACATCTCCTCAATGAAGATAGACTTAATTTTGCATTGGAATTTTTGGAGTCAATATCAGCACCTTCCGTCTCCTTTTCTCCTTGGAATTTTTTAACTTATCTTTAATTCTCTCTTTTGCTTACAATGCTACTTGTTTTATCCATAAAAAAATTCTCCTTACACATAGGTAGCGTTTGATAGAGTTTTAGAATTATGATTTGAAAATAGAATTGTATTTTGAGTTTGTAAATTTTAAAATTATGATTTGAGTGTGAAAAATTTGTTTAGTTATGAGTTTTGAATTGAGTTTGAAATTTTTGATGTGATATACGATATTTGATTAAAAAACTTACAACTCATAACCAAGCACACAACTTAAAATTCTATTCAAAACTCATAAAAAAATTTAAAAAATTCTGAAAATATTTTTTTATTTTCAATATAAGAAAATAACGGGTGCCAATTGTTAAAAAAAATAATAAATAAAAACAAAAAAAAATAACCAACCAACATTGTTCCTGTCGACCGGCTGGACATCCACGGGATGTCCGAAGGATGACTGGATACACGTGTTTTCAAAAGTGGGTATGAAATCACGTTTTCAGAACTCAAACCAAATACAACATTCAAACCAAGGACTGGAATCACATTTCTAGAGTTCCACCAAACACAGTATGCAAATCCACTTTCATAAAGAGTAGTAGTTGGTGGTTGTTTGCTGTATTATGGAGCAGTTGCTACTAAGCTTACGTAGATGTTTGTCTTGCAACAACAAAAGTCTTCAAATTGTCTTTCCCTTTTACTAATCCAACACTTGTTATTAACCCAATTCCAATCCACACCAAAAACAGAAACAGAAACAAAAACATCAACATGGGTACTTTGTCCTTCCATGAATTCAAAAGATATGCTTCTCTGTTCTTCAAAGAGAAGATCAAGACTGCCCGATTGACTCTCACTGATGTTACATCTGCTCAACTGTAAGTCAGTTTGTTTACAATGCTCAAACATGCCTCTTTGTATTTGTGTTTATTTCTCATATGATTTTGCTGTAATGGTGATCAAAAGCTTGACAGAAGAAGCCACAAACGAAGATTCGTGGACACCAGACACTCGTACCATGGGACTAATATCTCGGGCTGCCTTTGAAGTCGATGATTATTGGAGGATTGTCGATATTCTTCACAAAAGGTTTCTGGTGATCTTTCTAGACCTGTGTTCTCACTGCAAATGAATATTGTTCCCATTTTCCAAAAAGCAAGAAAACTTGTTTGAAAAGCTGTTTTTGGAAAAATGGGTTGTTTTTCAGACTCAAATCTTTGATCTAATCCTTTTGTGTTCATGAATGGGAACTTCAGGTTATCAAGATTTGATAGGAAGAAGTGGAGACCCTCTTATAAGGCTCTAATAGTATTGGATCACCTTCTAACTCACGGACCAGAGAGAATTGCAGAGGAGTTTCAGTGTGACAAAGATGCTATAAGGGAGATGACAAACTTTCAGCATGTTGATGAAAAAGGGTTGGCATAGTTTTCTTGGATAAAAATATCCATTTATAACTTTTAACAATGTTATGTATCTAGAAAGATTAAAAGTTTTCAAAATTTAAAATGTATTGGATTAAATTCATTGTGAGCAATCCATCTCCACACCAAGTTTAAATCTATATCATATATTCAAATTTTACGAACTTTTCTTAATATTTTTGTCTTGGTTATAAAAAATTTTGATTTTCCAAAAAGTATTTGGATTAACTGCACTAATGATCTCAAAATTGTGTTTTAGTTCCTATTCTTTTAATTTTTTTCACTTTTTATTCTCAAAATATGCGATCTGTTACTTTTAACCCTTGGTGTTAGTGTTGTTTAAGGTCAATAATGAGAGTAGCGATATTTTTAAAATTTTACATGAAATTTCAACCAAATCACAAAGATCAAATACATGTATCGTCCCTAAAATATGAAATTTGTTGCATTTCGATCCTCAAAAAATGTGCACGTTGTCCCAATTTGGTTCTCAAATATGCATTTTGGTACCAAATCTTTTAATTTTGTTGCAATTTTTGGTAAATTTCCAAGAATACCCTTTATCCGTTTATTAATTTTGAACTGCACAGAGGCCAAGTACGTAGTGAAAAATTAAAAGATTAAAGACTAAAGTGTAATATATTGGATACTCCAGAGATAATTAACATACAATTAACTAAGAATTTTAATTTGTAGTTTGTCAATAGTCTTATTATTTCGCATGCAGATTTAACTGGGGTTTGAGCACTAAAAAGAAATCAGAAACCATATTGAAGCTGCTTGAAGACATGCCGTTTCTGAAAGAGGAGAGAGCTCGATCTCGGAAGCTAACAAGTGGAATCAAAGGGTTCGGTAGTCTCTGCCTGAGAAAATCTTCTTCCATCGATGGAAGCTCAAAAGAATCTTCACGCGAAACAGTCATAGTGAGACACAATTCTCACTACAACTGTTACGAAAATCAAGATGTTGAAGTTTTAGCACAAAATGATGCATTTTCAACAGAGGAAAAGATTAAAAAGATGCTACAAACTTGCGAAGTACCCGAAAAGCAGGTGAAAAATGCAAACTCTAGGTTAAATATTGGAGAGGAATGTTCAGATGAAGTGAATCATCCATTTTGTGAGAATAAGCACGATGAAGTGAATCATCCATTTTGTGAGAATGAGCATCAAACCGGTGCCTCTCTGCTTTCTTCTATTATTACATGAAAATTCTTGCAGCTGTGAGTTTTTTGTGTTTTTGTTTTTGTTTTTGTTTTTGGTATTTTTGTAGATGATGTGGTGTGTGCACAGTTTGAGGTGTTCTGGTGTTCTTTTCTTGGTATGGATGTTGTGTAGTTTAGTTCTTATATCCATGTTTTTCCTTGGGACTCAAAATTTCCAAGAGGCTAATGATTGATCATATGTTCAAGGCTTGTATCTATACGTTCAAGTTTGGTAAAAAAAACCTCATGAGCTTTAAAATGTATTTAAATTTGATTTATTTACATTATAAATCAATTTTGAACATACTTTTAACAAGTTAAACATAAGTTAGAGCTCAAATAATTTAGTTGGTTTTATCAATAACCATTAAACATCATATGGTTGTCTTTCTTTTCTTCACATTGCAGACCTAGAGCACTCAATCACCCATTCATGAAACAGGTTAAGGTCTTCTTGGAAAAACGTAGTCTCTCAACCAATATTTTGAAAACCGGTAGGCAAAAAAGCTATGAGGACAAGGGTTTTACCAGTTCATCGCGCTAATAGGTAAGTATCAATGCAAAAAACAAAGTAAGCTACAAAGAGGAATAGCATGGCAAAAGGCAAAAAATTCCGAAATTAAATAAAAATAAAAGAATTAGACGATGTCATAACAACAGACTCCTGGCCCTCTCAAGGTCATCATCACCCCAACAAGAGAAATAACAAAATATAGGAAACAAAGCTAGAACAAAAGGTTGAAGCTGCACTGCAGCTTTCCCAGAAATATGCAGTAGTTTCTTTTCGCAAAACATTTCTGTAGTTGCACAATCAGAAGCATTTTCTGTGCACGATGGATGGTCCCGACTCATCATACTCAGCCTTTGCAATCCACATCTGCACACAAACAAGAAAAAAGGTCTGATGAGAAGTCATCTGGTAGAAACTATCAAAGGGCACCATTAACTAGAGTTGCAAATGAACTGAACTATTTGTGAGATCGGCTTGACTTAGTTCGATAAGTAAATAAATGAGCTCCAACTAGACTTTTAAGCTTGTTTAATAAATGAGCTGAACTCGAACAAGCTAGGCTTGTAAAGCTCGACTCTATTTAAATAATAGGATAATTATATTATTCATACATTAAATAATGTAAGTATATTATTTATATATTTAAATATTGTAAATAACAGCAACAAAAAATTCATTATCAAGCTACGAGCTCAGCTCAAGCAGGATTAATCCCTGCAAAGGTCAGCTCAATTCGGCTTGGTTGGCTTGCAGCCCTACCATTAACATTAAAAAGTCCGCCCGAAAAGATACAAACCTGCTGGAATGTGCTGAGGGATGCCAAGATGGACCCGCCAATCCAGACACTGTATTTCCTCTCGGGGGGTGCCACGACCTTGATCTTCATGCTGCTTGGGGCAAGAGCAGTGATTTCCTTGCTCATTCTGTCAGCAATGCCTGGGAACATGGTCGAACCACCACTGAGTACAATGTTGCCGTAGAGGTCTTTTCTGATATCGACGTCACACTTCATGATGGAGTTGTACGTGGTCTCGTGAATTCCAGCTGCTTCCATTCCAATCATTGAAGGCTGGAAAAGGACCTCAGGGCATCGGAACCGCTCAGCACCGATGGTGATCACTTGCCCATCAGGCAGCTCATAGCTCTTCTCAACTGAGGAGCTGGTCTTGGAAGTCTCTAGCTCTTGCTCATAGTCGAGGGCTATGTAAGCTAGTTTTTCCTTCATGTCTCTCACAATTTCCCGCTCAGCGGTCGTGGTGAAGGAGTAGCCACGTTCCGTAAGGATCTTCATCAATGAATCAGTGAGGTCACGGCCAGCCAAGTCAAGACGGAGGATAGCGTGTGGGAGGGCATACCCTTCATATATGGGGACTGTATGGCTGACACCATCACCAGAGTCCAGCACAATACCTGCACAGCAAACACAAAACAACGGACACACACAAACACCCTTCATATATGCATTATCTCCATGCCTTGTCTAACAATGTATTAAGAAATTCAAAACCATTTAAGAAATACATCCATCCTTCAAGAAAACCCTTTAATGAGAGAAAGCTGAACAAAAAAAGTGACAGTCATAGTTAAAGCCTGTAAATTTCACAACCAAAAACATGCCATATTGTGCAAACATAGGCCACAGGTCAGAATTCAAGTTTTGTGCCATGCTGAGAAGTAAAAACACAGAGAGAGAGAGAGAGAGAGAGAGAGAGTTATCATCCTAAGTGATGACATAAGCAAAAACAAATTAGTCATTTTCAGCATTTTGCCATGCTAAAATATATCGACACGTTAAGCACACAAATTCCAAGTATTTGATGGTTATCTTATTCAGATTCTGTCTGAAATTCAATTAAAATGAGTCACAATTAACTGAATTACTTACCAGTTGTACGACCACTAGCATACAGGGAAAGAACAGCCTGAATAGCAACATACATAGCAGGAGTGTTGAAGGTCTCAAACATGATTTGGGTCATCTTCTCCCGGTTAGCCTTGGGGTTGAGAGGTGCTTCAGTCAGGAGAACAGGGTGCTCTTCTGGAGCAACACGGAGCTCATTGTAGAAGGTGTGATGCCAGATCTTCTCCATGTCATCCCAGTTGCTCACAATACCGTGCTCAATTGGGTATTTCAAAGTTAAGATACCACGCTTGGATTGAGCCTCGTCTCCAACATATGCATCTTTTTGGCCCATGCCAACCATCACACCAGTGTGACGTGGGCGACCGACAATACTAGGGAATACAGCCCTTGGAGCATCATCTCCGGCAAATCCAGCCTAACAGATAGTAAAACAATTAGTTTTGTCAAATGTTTCACTTTTCCACTTTGGGGTTTTGGTGGTGGCGGTAGTGGTGTTAAGAAAACCATATACTAAAAAGTTGCGTAGAGGAAACAGCATTCTATACCTTAACCATTCCAGTTCCATTATCACATACGAGTGGCTGAATATCCTCGCCTTCTGCCATCCTATACTACCTCCTGATAAGAATACAGCTTTAGTGAGAACCAAGTCATCAAAATAAAAATATATTTCTTTTTCATATTTAATAACTTTTATTTTTGTTCTTACAACATTTGAAGGAAGAGGGAGGGAAAATTATTTTCTTTCCTTATCTCTCAGCTAACATGTTGAATTATTCATAACATCAACCAAGATTACAGGTAGGTTGTCAATATTGAGTGACGAGCTTCTGTAAAGCTCTGAAAAAGGGAAAAGAAAATGAAGCAAAACAGAGATACAAGAATAACTGCTGCTGCTAAAAATAACAATGGAGACAACACTTGACGTTACCTAAATATATACAATATGACTGTCAAAAAGGTGTAATAATAATAACAGATTTTTCAAATCCCTCTACAGGCTAACATGGTTTTAAACCGGGCTCTTCTATAACAGTATACTACCTTAATTTAAATAACATGTTTCCATGCTTTTATCCATCTTTTCAAAGGATTCATCATAAGTAGTAAGTAACACATATCAGATTAAAAATGGCAATTGACAAGCAAATTCAATCAAGAATAATCTCCAACAAATGCTACTTTATATTAAAAAAAATTATTATTAAAGAAATCTCTGCAGCCCAAAATCAAGAGTGGGGGATGCTTTTAATTATCTCAATCACTCAACGTACAAGAAATATTTTGTGTCATTTGCCTTCTCATTATTCCCTCCAAAAAAGGCCAAACACCCAGTCCGGATATCTACCATTGTCATGCCAAATGCAATAAGAAATTGAAGATTGAAAGTCAAGCAAATAAGAGTGCAGCTGCAGATAAGGGAAATGACCACCTAAGAAGTATGGATATAGAGACGGACATGGAGCACAACAAATTCCAAAAAATCAAAATACAAACATAGCAGCGAAATATATATTTGCTATGTATATGAATATTACAACCACAAACAGCTAAAAATAATGAAAAATAATACTAAGGCCTTGTTTGGCATATACTAAAAAAGTCAAAAAGTCATTATCCTATTTAAGTCACATCATCTTATTTAAGTCACATCACCTCTCTACCATATCACTTCAAACCCAACCCATATTTCATAAAAAGTCAAAAAGTGCACTTATTTAGAACATCCCAAATAACCCCTACTTCAGCATTATAGAAACTAATATAAAATAAAATAAAAACACTTAAACTATAATCAAACTTTATTTAATATAAAACATACAATTTTATCAGAGTTGCTTGCCTCCCATCAACATAAAAATTTATGGGTATGCCATTATCACAAGTACAAGAAGACGTGTTCCTATAACCGTTACAAGTAAAAAAAAAAAAATAGCAATTCCAACAATCAAATACTAATTTAGAATGATAATTCAACAACTTCAACAAAACACTTACTCATAAATTAATGAAGAAAATGCTATTCATTTGTATTGTTTAAAGAGTCAAAGTGACTAACTACTACATAGTAATTATTAACACAAATAACATGTTTACATGGTGGTGATTATGAATTTTTAAATCCTTTTACAGCCCACAGCAAGATAACCATGTCCGTGTCTGGAAAATGTCCATGCACAAAAAACAAAAACAAAAATAAAAAATAGGACATGCCACATAGCATGTCCAATACGTATCTTGACATGTTCAAGGCATGCCAATGTTTGACACAACACATGTCAGACATGGCTACACAGATGGCCACATAAAATACAATTGGCTTTACATATAAAACAAAACTAATCAAATGTTTATGTTCATATGTTTTCACCGATTATTATTAACATAGCACTTGATCATAGAAACTAAGCAAAAGCTATTTGAAGATTTTAAAGCTGTGTTTGGTTCATGGATTTGGTGAGGGATTTGGAAAGAGAAAGGAAAAAGGTAGATGAAACGTGAATGAAATATAGTTGCATTTCATAGATTTTTTCCCTTTCCCTTTCCCTTTCCCTTTCCCTTTCCAAATACTTACACAAATCCAGCAACCAAACCGCCCAAGGGTCCCAAGCATTACCACAGGCTTTTCTTTTTTCTTTTTCTTTTTCTTTTTTTTTTAAAGCTAAATATAATAGTACCATTGAAATAATTCCAACACCCAAACCCACCAGAAAAATGCACAAAATATGTGGACGCCATATAACAATAGTTGAGATCTAAAACCAAATGCTTAATGAAGCTGGATACTATCTTCAATTGCAAACTCTATTCTATAGATTCAATGCCAATCATCGGAATTTCATTAGAACTAGAAGAAATGACAAGTTTTAACATAAATCAAACATGCATAAATGATAACAACCACATGGATTTAGAATAAGAGAAAATAACAAAATATAGAGACCAAATTCATCCCAATTATATAAATAACTAAACAACCCAAAAGATCACATACCCATCTACCCAAATCACAATGCTAATCTCATCAACCCAAAATTGCACATATGTATGGAATGTATATGTGACTGTGTGTGTATCGATTCAGAAATTGAGAATCTGGGTAATCAAACAAACCCAAATCCGCGCATATACAACAAATCAAAGACCTTAGAAACAGTAAAAGAAAAGATTACCAAACAGATCAACAAAAGCTCTTTCAATTAAAGGTAAGCTAAATGAGATCAAATTGAAATGACAACGAATGAGATTGGAATGGAATCATTACCTTTTGGGAAACCTTGCAATGAGAGAGAGAGAGAGAGAGAGAGAGACGAATGATCACAAATGGAACTCTCTACCACGAAATGAGGGAAGGGGGGTTTGGGGTTAATATGGTGGAGAGTGGGAAGATCTGGGCCGTTGGTTTGGCTGGCTTACAGTCTGGATGTACGGACACCGTGACACGTTCTGGGGGGTGGGGAGAGTGAGGGAGGGCTGTTGGATTATGATGACGATGATGGGTGGAGAGGGGCTGTTTTATTAATTCATTTATTTTTTTAAAAGTTTAAAAAATAAGGGAAGGATCTCCTTCGGTTTAGATTTTAAATTGAGAGCTGTTTATTTGGATTCGTGAGCTCTATCATAGGTTTTATTTTTGTGATGTAAATTATTTATTTTGTCATTTTGTGTATTTTGTCTAAAAAAAAAAAATAAGTTGTTTCGATAATTATAATTTATTCAATTTATTATATTTGTCACTAAAAATATTTAGTTTATTTTTTAAGACACAATTGTTGTCTACTTTTAGTAAAAAATTGAACAAGTTACAGTTATTAGATTGACCTAATTTTTTTTTAGGACAAAATATACGAAGTGTCCGACAAAATGAACAGTTCGGATCATTGAAACAAGACATGACCCCCACGAGCTCAAAAAACGCCTTCTAATCCAAAATCTAGACTAGAGGGGATCCGTCTAAAAAATAAGAGTAGTGGTTGAGACCCCCTCAATCACCAACTCCCACCACCCCCCCCACACACGTGGGGGTTGGTGATTGGAGGAGGAGAAGAAAAGAAAAAAAAAAATTGGCCAATCACAAATCAAAAGGGGTCGTGGGGTTCATCCTGGAGGGGGTTTGGATCATTTTTGAAAAATTAAATAGTGAATAAATTTTAATTTGAGGGAATACTTGGGAGTTGAGAAAAAATTTATCAATACATGGAGGAATACAAGTCATATTTACACAGTCACAGTCTTTCATTTATATCCTACTATAGACACGCTTACACCTCCATATGTTTGTAATTTTTTTTTTCAACTTCCATTATGTGGGTGTTTAGGAAGTAGGTTTTTTTTGTAAGTTTTTTTAGTTGTAGGATATTATTGGAGAATTTTTTTTTTTTTGTGTTTGGAAAAATAATTGGATTTTTTTGTGGTTGAATGTGATATTTGTGAGAGAAAAAGTGAAATGATTATGAAATTTGATGTGATATTTTGTTTGAATTTGATTTTTTTGATTTTGTAACTAATTTGTCTTTTAGTGGAAAAAAAAAAAACAAAAAAAACCTTAAAACTAACTTTCCAAACACTCCCAAGCAAGGTTCTGAAAAGCGGTTGCGGTCGCCGTAACGGTGGCGGTGACGTGATTGCGGTTGCGAGGTGTAAAGGTCGTAGCGTAACGGTTGCGGTAACCGGAACCGTGAATTTTTTTATTTTTCGTACAATTTGAAAAAAACTTACTGATACACACATTTTTTTTTCATGATCATATTTATTGGGTTTTAAAATGAATATTGATCAATTTTTATAAATTTTTAAGTTTGATCCAATATATTTCATATTTTTAAATCACTATAAACTGAGTTTTTTACATTTTATTTTAATAATTAATGACTTTATATTATACAAAAAATCAATCACTACAGCACCGTTACAACCGCTATAGCAGCCGCTACGGCCGATACACCTGTGAATCTCAATCACACTGCAAAAGCAGCCATAACGGGTGGCGGTAACTACCACAACCGTTACGTAACGGCGTTACGTAACGGTTGCGGCCGCTTTTTAAAACCTTGCTCCCAAGTGTTTTGTGTTAAGTAAAATATATGATTAGCTACTACGTGGTGATTTGAGTTTTGTTATTTTATTTTTTTAAAAGAATGTAAGAAAAATAAAGAGAGTGATGTGATATATAAATATATATATTTGACTCTTATAAGGCTCTCCTCAAACCATTCATATTTTTAAAAGCAAGATTGCTAACAATGTTTTGTTGTAATTTGGAGATAAAATTTATTCATATACTATTTATTTTATTTTAAATATAAAAAATGTAACATTATTAAAGGCTTGGTGGACAAATATTGAGATGGGGTTTGACAAATATGTTTTTAGTAATTATTTATTTATTTATAAAAATTAATTATAAGAAAATCGATGTGTTTTGACAAATGTTATTATTATTAAAGAAAAGTTGAGGGAGTGATTAAACATTTGATCTTGAGGGAGGCATGACCTTGTTAGCTTTATCATAATTCAAGGCCAAGCATTTTAAATAAGACCATGGTGAACATTTTAAAATTGTTGCTAGTAAAATGCTCTTCTCATTGTTTTATTGAGATTCCACAAAGCTTCCTCCAAATCCTTAAAAAAATGTTTTTTTTTTTTTTTTCATTATGTTAGTTAATTTTTTTTTTTTTTCTAAAATAACTATAAAACAAAAAGTGATTATTTAAAGCATTACCAAATAGAACTTGAAAGTTCAATTGAGGCCATGTCCAAATTCAGTTTCAAGAATAGAGAAGAAATTATCTAATATATCCGTCATATATCTTACGTGTGTGCCCTTACAATTGTATAAGGTCATGTAATTGGTATTTTCTACATTTTTTTTCATATGTTTTAAGCAAAGTGATTAGGTGTTCTCTTGTTATTAGGTGGGTACATCCACGTGATAGGGCGGACCTACCAAATAACTTCTTAGAATAGAGTGATTTGTTTAATTTTGGATTGAAAGTTCAAACTGACTTGCTTAAACTTATCTCAAACAGCTTAAGTTAGGCTTAGATTATCAAAATTTAACACAAAAATTATCTCAAGTTAAACATTAAAATTGTACTAAACTACGGTACTAGACTTATAAAAAAATTAAAAAAAAATCTCAAAAATTATGTCTCTTGATTTTTATACAATTTGTATAAGACATTGTGGTCATTACCCTCTTTGATGATCCCCATATCTCAAACTCTTTTAAGTCATGTGGATGGTTCTGGAAACCCTAACAAAGCTTTATTGCTGGGGATGAGCTTTCGGTTTGAAGATCCATTACATTTCCAGCTTATATTGCACTCATTGCAATACCAACCTTTCCCATTTTGCTGAGTTTAAAAGATGATAAAAGATTCAACCCCACATGTGTAGTGTAGTATGAAAAAAGACCTACCCTTTTTAATGAATGCATTAAACTATCTTTTCATGGAGAAAAAGAAAAAGGAAAAGAAAAGAAAAGAAAAATTGTTCCAACTGGATGGGGGTCACTTTCTTACATTTCACAGTTGTCACTCAAACCTTTTTTGCTTTGGGAATGTTCTTTCTACCCACAATCCTTACCCACACCACTAGTGTCATTGTGAAATTTGGGAATGTTATATCCATTCAAACTTTATAAAGAAAGTATGGGTATTTTTATCCAAATTAAAACAACTGAATGAAAATAAATTGATTGGATACCAATTAAAGAAAAGTAATTGTTCGGATATTAATTATTGAATTGAATTTTTGTTTGATATTTGATATTTGAATGAAAAAATTGTGTAAAAAATTGGATGAACAACGGCGTTGTCTATTTTAAACACAAATTAAGTAAATTAGGGAACAAAAATGAAGAAAAAAAAATGCATACATTGAGAACTAATAATGTATTTAGCCTTTGATTTTATTGATATGAGAGAATCTTGTCAGACAAATGGAATTAGTAAAAACAGATGTTTGTGCCCATTTTTCTTTAATTCTCTCCTTCCTTTGATTGTGGAGGCATCTTATACCCTATTAGATGCTTTATTGACAAAAACATTATGTCTTTACAATAAGGCACTTCAAAAGAAAATGAAAAGCTGTTCAATACAAGTTGGGAATGATTTCAGACCTTGCAGCATCCCAAGTGATCATGTGCTACATGAGTGGATAGATACCTGGTGTAAGGTGCCAAGTGGTATTATCAATCAATGAACAACTTTAAGGCTGTGTTTACATTATAAAATTTAGGTAGAGATTTGACAAAGAAAAATAAAATATGAAGAAAATATAAATTAAATATTTTCTCCATTTTCTTGGCATTTTACTTTTCCTTTCTAAACCAAATAAATTATCCAAACAATAGCCTGAGGTTATGCTTGAATTTAGGATTTGAGTAAAAATTTGTGGAGGAAAAAAGATGCGAGAAAAATGTAAATAAAATATAAGCCAATTTTCTTCTCTATTTCCATCACCCTTTCATTTCCTTCCACAAATTTCTACCTAAATTCAAAACAGCCTAAATGACATCAGCAGTGCCACTTGCTTTTTGTTGAATATCAGATAAAATTAGTTCTATCCAACTACTTGGTCAGTCTTATTTAATTGGTGACACATAGTGTGATCGCTATACACAATGTCTAGTTGTGTTTACACAGGTATGAGTTAAACCTGCCAAGGATAATAATGCCATAACAACCATATTTATGGATTAGAAATTGTTAGTTATTTAATGCATCAACAGATTACCAGCTTAGCTTGAAGAATTTCATACCCAAATAGAGATTGGTCCATCATGATCAGTTAAGAAAAAGTAGGTCTATTGGACTCCACAGAGAGTCACTGTCACAAATTTGATTAAAAAAATGCAGTGAGGTTAGAGGCACATCTCAAGCTTTTCCCTGCTTCCTATTGAGAATTGCTAGCTTCCAATTTCAAATATTGAAACTGCCATCAGTTACATCCATTAGTTAATGTGATTGTACATTAATGGTAGCGACCATACAAGAACAAACATTGCATACAAGTAACTGCAGAAAACAGTTCAGCCTGAGAATAATCGAAATTTAGTACATAGAAATATTCATTCATCGACAAGAGGTAGCAATATCGAAAGTTGTTGATGGCTGCAAGCACAAACATTGCATAGAAGTACTGCAGATAACAGTTTAGACTGAGAACAATCGGCCTCTAGTACAAAGCAATATTCATTCATCACCAAGAGCTTGCAATATTGAAAGTTCAAGAATCTTGTGTGTTGCTTCAAACAATAATATAAAGCATTCAAATTGAGAGAAAGAAAGCTACAACTGATCAACATAACAAAGACGGTCTACAAGGCCTCCAATGCAACTATGAGGGTGAAGATCTTACCCTTTACTAGCAAATTTAAATAAGAATGACCTCTAGTTACTAAAGACATCAAGTAGCGGACTGGTCCCTTCTACAGGAATGGGGGTAGTATGACCCATCGTCGGGGATACTTAGGTCTTCCCTCCTTCCCATCAAATAGCTGCCACAAAAAGGTTTTGAGCATCAGAAAAAAGAGTCCAAACTAATCAAAGATATGAGAGAATTACTTTTACCGATATCGACACTGCAATAATGTCAACAACCAACACAAATACACCAAAATCCAAATGTATAGAATCTCGGATCTTTGTTGATCCCTTAATAGACTCCCAGTAGCATCTATCTGTACACATCACTAGTTCTTTGACCCATCAAAGGAGGGCTTTCTGTTTAGCCAAGCCATGGTGAGATAGCGTAGTGTAGTGTTTGATGCATTGGCTTATAATTCAAACCCGCATCCAATCAAGAAACGGAAAATTCAATGCACAAAAGAGTATATCGAAATTAGGTTCACATTATTTATTGGTACCAAATTCAGGGATGGCATCATCAAAAATAAAATAAAACTAATATGCTATATAGAAAGATATACCAGGTGGAGATGATTCTCCAATTATCACTCGGATAGCTTTTATGGGATGGGAAACTTTTGGCATTCTTTTCATTTTATGTACAATGAAAATTTTCAAACAAAAGTTATTTTTTGTCGTCTCCCATTTTCAATAAAATTTATTGAAGATGGTGTTCAGTAACACCCTGCCACCAAATGCATTCTCCAAGTCAATTATCATTTTTACTATTAAAGAACAGAGAGTAGTATTAGAAAATGATATCAAATAAGAGAATATACCTCCTTTCCAAAGAATTACAACTGAATCAGAAGCCTGCTTTTGGTTGTTTAGGTGGTTGTAACATTTCTTAGAAAAAAAATAAATAGATAGATGAATAAAACAAAACAAAGCAATTCCAAATTCCATCTAGCTATGCATCTGATCCACTCAGAGGTTTTTGTCCACAAAAATGAGGAAATTGGGAAGGAAGGAAGGAAGGTTTGCATAAAAAGCATACTTTCACTAAGCGAATTATATCTACCTAGAACTGATCAAACAACTCCACCAAGCCAAGAGGTAAATCAATTCATAATTAAGGAGCCCAAATTTTAAAATGCAGAAAATAAATATACGAGTCGAATATGCAGCAAAAAATCATAGAAACTTACCCTCCTTAGACGACGGTGCTTAGCGAGTGCCCAGTTAGTCATAATAGAAGTAGCAACCACAACAAAGACATAACCCGCAACCGTTTGTGTTGCAATATTGAAGCCCAGCCACTGATAAATCTCTGTTGTGTAATTCGCGCACGTGACAATATTGAACAAAAACCCACGTGGGATTTGGTACCCTCCATTCCCATCAGGACTCCGAAGATTCCGGAGCAAGATGTGGCAGTACAAGTTTGCGACTTGACAAAGTAATCCAAAACCAAATCCAATCTTCATTTGGAGGTCACTAACAGGTGTATAAAATGGGTGATTCACATAATATGCAATATAAGCACCAAAAGTCCAGTAATAAGCGCAATTCCGGAACACATTAGAGAGCGGTGAGGTTGCGTGGCTGAAGCGGTGAATGAAGAATGTCTCCATGATACGTTTAAAGTAGTGGAAACACCAGTAGTACAAAGCATATGCCTGAACTTTGTGGATGACACGCTCTCCTTTGTAGCCAAAGAATTGATAGACAGGGAAGTAGTAGAAAATTGGATAGATGAATAGAGGACCCAAATACTCAAAGAAGAAAAGTGTACGGTACGAAACTTGTGGACCAAGGTCCTTGAACACCACAATCAAGTTGTCCGAGTTCCCATCAAAATATTCCTTGAGACTTTTCTTGTAGTTAAGGGCAATGGGCTTTTCCTTAGAGCCCGGTTGGATTGGGAGGGTCAGGCGCTGTCTAGAAGGATAATATTTTTTCGCTGTTTATACAAAAAATGAACACTGCGTTATTGAGATCAGAGGAAATATAAAAGTAACAAATAAATGCAGGGGAGATAAAAGCTCAAAATCAAACATGTAACAAGAGCTTACAAGAACAAATGCAACACTGTAAAAAGTCTGGTCCAGTGAGCATCTCCAACCCACTAGGCATATAATGCTTGTTAGTCAAAATGCCTAGTATGATTCACTTTTTTCAATTTCAATGCACTAGGCATATGATTAGGCATTTTAGCTCAACTCACATTCACTAGTTACATTTAGCTAGCCTTCAAGGTTAGGCAAAATGTATTTAATCATTAGGATCATTTCCCTCCATCTTTGTTACTGATGTGGCATTCTATAAAGTTAATAATATTTGGATGAATAATTAAAATGTAGAGGATGATTGCAGTAAAAATATGAAACAGTTGATAGGCAAAATAAAATGTATACTTTATAGTAATGTTTAGATAGGTAAAATGCCTATTATCGTTGAAGATGCTCCTAGCAAGCTTCCATATTAAATCACTAAATGAGGTTATGCTGATAAACACACAAATCCAAATAGATATTTTGGTTGGGAATTCAGGCACCACAAATGTTAGCCATTTTATATTCTCAATTTTCCTCATGTTTGAAGTTCATTCATTATAGAAAATTGTTAAGGGAACAAAATTTGTGGCACACTGTTCTTGAGACCTATATACATGAAATGCGTGCACACAAATCACAGAACATTCGAATAATGCAGTCAGTACGACAAAATCACAATGTAAAGAATGTGCAGTACATAGCTAGAGATCTCATCACATTGGCCATTAAAACAACTTTTGAAGGCAACTGAGTTTAATTCCATGCTATGTGAGAACCATGTGAGGATTAAACTTTAAAGAATGCCCAGGGAAAAATTCACAGTTTTCACATTATTGATTTGATTGCGTTCATGTTAATTCTAGTCCTTCCTGTTTATTCTTTCACGTAAAAACTCTGTACAACCCTAAACAAGATATTTCAAACTTTTGGAGTCAGCTAGGCAAATCATTTTTTCAAAAAAAGAAGATTATTTCTAAAGCCCTTGCATTGTCCCATTCCAAATGAAAAACCATAACGTAGTGTTTAGCCTCCCTATGGTTACAAAGGTAGATGATGATGCATTTGCAGTGCTTTTTTTTTAATCATTTGTTTAGTGAACAAAATGTGAGAATGGACATTCCGATGGAAAGATCAATCTAGTGAACCAAACACTACCTAAAAGACAACAATAAACAAAAGGTGCTCTATTCAAATCCCAAATAACCACCAATTTGGATGAAATGGTAAAATATGAACACAAACACCATCCAACAAAGCTCACAAACAGACTCCAAGAATAGTGGTTCTTAGGAAAAAAGGAAAGAATTTTTTTTTCAGACACATGGCTTTTCTTTCTTTCTTTCTTTCTTTCTTTCTTCCTTCCTTTTTTAAAAAAAAAAATATATATATATATATTGAGAGCAGAAGCAAACATAACAGCATCTCTAGTGGTGAAGACAAATTCAACAGAAATTCCACACAGTAAAAAACAGTGACAAATCGGACCCATCTTTCAGTTGTCCAGTGGCTCTCAAATTTGAAAAAACTTTCTGGGTCAAAAGGAAAATTACTTAATCTTTCAAAATGCTAAAAAAGGGCCAAAATTGCTCACATACTGACTCCAATAACAGTTTTTTGGTAGGAAAAAGAAAATTAGATATACCAAAAAATAGAATTTATAATGAGGCGTAACTGGGGGGACCACGAAAGATGTCTGAGCAAGCCATGAAAGCAAAGCGTACAATTCAAAAGCCTAGCACTAAACAAAATATTTAAAAACATAAAAAATAAACTATCACAGGCCAAGAAAATAGTGATTCGCAGGTAAGGAAAAAAATTGAAATAATGGTTTTTCTTTTTTTCTTCTGTTTATTGAAAGCAGAAGTAAACATAATAAGCATGCATAGTGGCTAAGACAAATACATCAGAAAATCCACAACATAAACAGCAGTGGAAAATCAGATCCCTCTTAACTCGTGGGTTAGAAATTTCAAAATTCTTTCTGAGTCAACCCAAAAATTATTTTCATCTCTTTCAAAATGCAAAAAAGAAGTAAAATTTTTCTCAATGTTCGCAAATGTTAACAGCAATGTTCGATTCAATGATCTATCTGCATCTCTCTCTCCTTGAAGATGCACAAGTTCTACTCTAGACAATCAAATTGCTAAACCATCCTAATAAACGTATAAAGATTCAAATTTTCAAGACTAACAACAATAAACATCAAAACACAAAGGTTAAATCACATAAAATTTTGTCACAGTACATACATCGCCGGTGAATTGCTTCCTGCAGATCAGCCACAACAATGATGGAGAGCTCTAATTTTAGAGTTAGAGCTCTAGTGATATGGCAAGAGAGAAGAAGAGGGAAAAAAAAAAAAAAAAAAAAGACACATACACAGGCGTGTATATGTATAGATCAATTGGAAAAACAAAAGCAAACCCAGGTAATGAAATTGAGAGAAACATACGGAGTCATTGAGCTCGAGGCCTCCCTTGATGAATTCTTTACCACTCCGCGTAACAACAGACACTTTCATCTTTGAAAATGAGAGAGACCCAGTTCAGGAAACAGAGTGTGTAAACGAGAGAGCCTCCTCTAGTTGATCTGCGGAGATTTTGAGATTTGCATATACTATATAATGGTCTCTCTCTCTCTCTATAGGTATGTGCAAGCACCGAATGTGTGAAATTAATGGTGTGTAGTTGGGGTAGATGGGCGAACCATTTGGGCCGATGAACCACCGTCTTATCAATAAAGAAATGTTAATGACATAAATCTACAAAGCAACGGTACCCAGGTAAGTATTGGGGAGCAAGGATCCTCTAGAGTGATTTTTCCCTAAAGTTTCTTAAAGTGCTACAGTATATGGTTGAGATTTACTGGCAAGTCACATCAGAAAAAAAGGATCCTCTAGAGTGATTTTTCCCTAAAGTTTCTTAAAGTGCTACAGTATATGGTTGAGATTTACTGGCAAGTCACATCAATTTTTCTGATGTGACTTGCCAGTAAATCTCAACCACACAATATAACACTCTAGGAAACTTTAGGAAAATTTCACTCTAGAGGATCCTTGGTGAGTATTGGGCCCAGTTGCGGGCCCAGTCATAGGTTTTATTTGTTGTACTTTTTTTTACCAAAAGTGACCTATGACCAAAAGCAATAAAAATAATTAGGGTAAATTACAAAGATATTCGAGATTTGGTTAAAATACGAATCACTCCTGTAATTTTGAAAATTACATTCCACCCCTTGTGTTTCTAATTTCATAACAAATTACTTCTTTTATTAATAAATCATGAAGTCAATTAACAATTTTTAATGATATTAGAAATATGTTTTAATTAATAATTTAGGTAATTTTATTATTGTATTAAAGAGTAATTATGAATTTTATTCTTTTAGTTACTTCTGTTAAATAAAAAATTCTGACAAGAGAGTATTTGTAATTTTCGAAACCACAATGGGCAATCTATATTTTAAGCAAACATCAGGGGGTGTATTTGTAATTTATCCAAATAATTATAGTAAATTATAAATATATCTCGAAATTTGTTTAAAATATAAATTATTTCTTGTAATTTTGAAAATTACATCTTGTTTTAATTGTATAATAAATGATTTATTTTATTAATAAATTATCAAGTTAATTAACAGTTTTTAATAATATCATAAATATATTTCAATTAATAATTTATGTAATTTTATTATTGTATATGAGAGTAGTTAAGAATTCTATTTAATCTGTTAATTCTATTAAATAAAAAATTCTAACAAAAGAGTATTTGTAATTTTTAAAATTACAGATGACAATTTATGTTTTAAATAATTTTTAATAGATGTATTTATAATTTATCCTAAAAATAAATAAAGAATCATATATAAATTTATTATAGTAACTTAATTTGGTATCTTATTATTTTTTTGAAAAAAAAAAACACATGATGGTTAAAACCACTTTAATAATAAACCCATCAAATTGTATTTTGAATTAAACGACCTTTAAGATGAGGGTTAGTATTATTTTTAAAAATATTAATTTAATTTTTTTTCTTAATTTATTATTTTAATAAATTTATATATATGTATATATAAATACATGGTACGGTATTTTTCGGAAAACAATATAATAAAATTATTAAAGTCAATGATTAAATATTTATCATGTTAAAATTGGGGTTTTTTTTTTAAGGTCCTTGATATTATGATTTTATAGCATAAAGGACATCAAATATTTTTATGATGTCTAAGGTCCATCAACAATATTTTCATAATGTCTAAGGTCCCTCAACCTTGATCAAGAGAAATTTCAGTCCAGAGAAAATTGGTGCAGAGAAATTTCAGTCCAGAGAAAATTGGTCCAGAGAAATTTCAGTCCAAATTTCTCTGGAAAATCTAATTATTCTCAGAATTTTATGCAGAGGGAGCCACACATACACCATGCATGTTTTTGGTGAATATTTGTGCACTGATAATCAATAAATGTCTTTTTTATCTTGAACAAGTTTACGAATGATTTTTTTTCCCCCTTTCCCTTTTATCACCTGATGCAAGTTCTTCCTAATTCCTAAGAAAAAACAATGTATTGGCTGTAAATTCAAAATTCTTTCTACCATTGTGTTTCGTATACAATTCGTGGTCTTTATATTTCTGCTTCAGTCTTCCATTAATGGGAGAGTTCTGCAACTTCTTCAGCGCCGGATCATGACCATTGTCATCATCTCACGTCACAGAGAAAATTGGTCCAGAGAAATTCTGGGAAGAATTTCTCTGGGCCAACCCTGATAAAATTTAGTTAAAAAATCAGAGAATTTCTCTGGTTTCAACCTAGAGAAAATTCAGTTCAAAAACCAGAGAATTTCTCTGGTTTCAACTTCAAATGAAAAAAGAAAAATTCACACAGTGATCACAACCAGAGAAATTTCATACAACTAGAGAAAATTCATACAACCAGAGAAATTTTATACAGTCATAGAAAATTCACAAAATTACAAACAATGATCACAATCAGAGAAAATTCACACAGTTCCCACATTCAGAGAAAATTCACACAGTCCAGAGAAAATTTAATTTGATTTGCTCACAGTATATCTATATTTGTATATATGAACAAATTTCAATCTCTTCTCCATTTCTTTTCAATTCCACAGTTTCTTTCAACTTCTTTTCAACTTCTTTTCGGTAATGGGTTTTCTAAGCAGAACCTGTTTTACAAACTCTTCTGAAACAATTAACCAAAAACAATCTTCTGAAACAATTGATCAAAAACAATCCACTGAATTTAGGAGAAATACAAAATGTTAAATAAACAACAAATATACATGCAGCCCAACTGCAGATGCACTGTACGTGATTCTGTGAATATCATTCAATTCGTGTCTCTACTTCATAAGGAAAAATCGGAGAAGTTGATAATGGGAGGAAAGAGAGCTCACAAGAAATTGGAATTGTTCAATTGGGAGGAAGAAGTTGATCTTCCCTGAAAGAGAAATTGGATGGGCATGCATTACTTCCACTTAGAACCTCCAAGCCTGATAACCTCTTCCGTATTAGGCAGCCTATCTTTCACAGAATCCTCTTTCTGACTGCTTAAGTCTCCGTACAAGTCTCTAAGCTTGGCCAGATTGCTAGATGCAGAAGTCTTTTCTTTGTTGTCATCTCTATGTGGACTTGGATGATGATTGGGATGTGCACTATGACTTTGGTTGCTTTGACTTCTGCTCCTATTCCTGCTCCTGCTTCTATGATCACGGCTGCTCTTATTGTATTCCCTTCTGCTGCTTTCTCTGGACCTTCTTTCATAATCATACCGCCTATCTCTGTCCCTTTCTTGCCCCCTGTCCCTGTCCCTTTCTTGCTCCCTAACTCTATCTCCCTTTCTGTCGCTGTCTCTTCCTCTATCCCTATCCCTGTTCCTGTCCCATTCCCGGTCTCGGTCTTGGTCTCGGTCTGGATAATCTTGATCAAACAAATCACGACTCCGGCTGCGACGGTTGCTGGGAGATCTTCGTGAATAATCATCTTTGCCATTTCTACCATAAGAAGGTGGTGTCATAGTACGGCGAACAAGGGATGAATCCCTAGTTGATGCGCGATGAGGAGCACGTTAACCAAAAGAGACTGAAAGGGCAGCTTTTACAGATGGTGGCCGACGAGCAGTGTCATCAGATGGTGGCTGTCGAGCCAAATCCCTAATCTCTCTGCCATGGATGTAACGAAGAAAGAAGAGAGACGAAGGGTTTGACGAGAGAAAGACACAGAGAGAGAGAGTGAATGAGAGACTCAGCGTGATATATGAAGGGACCTTAGACTATAAAAAAAAAAAATCGTGGACCTCTCTCATTACTAAAAGTGGGAGAAGGACCTTAGACTAATTTTCCCGTTAAAATTTGACATGATATTCTTATATATTGTGCCAAGACACAATATATAGAGCATCATATTAAATTTGGCATGATTAGTCAAACATTGTTTACAATGACGGAGATAGAAAACTAAATCAGAATAGATATTTATTAATTACAATTTCAATTTTTTTCTATAACCAACAATGAGAAGATAATAATAATTTTTGAATTAATATTAACTACAAAAACTTAAATAAATTATTACAAAAGTATTTCATATAAAATTTTATAATTAATTTCGAGTAAAATCGAAAAGAAAGTATTGCGTATAACTAATATATCATGGACAATATAAAAAAGTTATATATTTAAGTCTTAAAATAAATTATATAACGGTAAGATAAATTAAATTTTTACAAAATTTGAGTAAAAATTTCATATAATGTTGATATCACGTCATCATTGACATATGATATCACCGACTAATAGTAAATCAACATATAAAGTGTGAACTCCACATGAAAATATAACTAACACTCTAATAACTTTACATATATATAGTGAGATTAATTATATTTACATATTAATAATAATGGATATCAACTTTATATTGAGATTTTTTCACAAAATTTTCATACATAAAAATATAATTTGATGTGGTTCCTTCATTTTCAATAAAACAATTACTATTATTCTTATAAATTTAAAAATACCATTAACATTTTATTTTAAATTATTTTTATTTAAAATTTTATTTATATATATATGTAAAAAAAAATCCAAAACCCAGGGGCACGTGACCCCTGCCCTCCATGTGACTCCGCCACTTATTGTTAAAGTGTAATTTTTATATCCATTGGGTCAAAATTTTAAATAACATAATAAATAGGACAATATTATATCTGTTCTTATTGTCATTAGATTACGTTCTATTAAGGGGAATATAGTATAAAGTCCTTATTGACTAAGGGTGTTCGTGAATCGGTTTTGTGCGGTTTGTGATTTGATTTTGACCCGTCTGTATTTATGCGGTTTGGAAAAAAATCAACCCGCAACTACCAGTAGTGCGGTTTGCGGTTTGTGTGGATAGGGTTTGCAGATGTGCTGGCAGTTGCGGGCGGTTTACACTTTTTTCTTTAAAAATTAATTTTTGAGTTTTTTTTCCCATCGAATTTAGGCATTAGATTCATTTTATATATTTGTGATTATTTGACAACAATTTTCTGATGAGTTTACAAATAAAAATTGAATATCAATGCATTAAATGAAAGTACCCAAAACAAAGAGACCCTATACTAGCATTTTTGTCATGAAAAAAATGTATATCAATGCATTAAGGTTGTACTCAATTAGAATTGTCAGTTCAGTAATCAATA